GGTGGATTGAGAAGTAGAAAAAAAAATGGGGAATAATTGTCCTAGTTTCAGCTGGGATAGGGTTAACTGTCTTCCTAGTAGTTGGTAGGGTGCTATGTTTTGAGTTCAGTATGTGAAGAATGTTGATAACACTGATGTTTTCAGTTGTTGCTAAGTAGTGTTTAGACTAAAGTCAAGGATTTTTCAGCTTCTCATGCCCAGCCAGGGCACAAGAAGTTGGCACAGGACACAGCCAGGGCACCTGACCCAAACTGGCCAACGGTGTATTCCATACCATGTGACGTCCCATCTAGTATAGGAACTGGGAAGTGGGCACAGGGAATCGCCGCTCAGGGGACTAGCTGGGTGTTGGTTGGCGGGTGGTGAGCAATTGCACAGCGCATCATTTGTACATTCCAATCCTTTTATTACTACTGTTGTCATTTTATTAGTGTTATCATTATCATTATTAGTTTCTTCTTTTCTGTTCTATTAAACCGTTCTTATCTCAACCCACGAGTTTTACTTCTTTTCCCGATTTTCTCCCCCATCCCACTGGGGGGCGAGGAGTGAGTGAGTGGCTGCGTGGTGCTTAGTTGCTGGCTGGGGTTAAACCACAACAATAATGTATGAAATCAGGTAAAGAGAAAAGATGAGACCTACCAACAGTAGGAGTGGAGATGCCTATGGATGGTAATGAAGCTGACTGCAGATCCAAGCCCACCAGGAAACTGGAGGGAAACTTGTTGGTCAACCCAAGAGAGTCTCCTTCAGGAGAAAAGAGGGCAGATGATTGACTATATGCTCATATAGAATCGTAGAAACATAGGATCATAGAATCATTTAGGTTGGAAAAGACCTTCAAGATCATCGAGTCCAACCATCATCCATGCCCACTAAACCATGTTCTGGAGTACCTTGTCTACACGCTTTTTGAATACCTCCAGGTATGGTGACTCAACCACTTCTCTGGGCAGCCTATTCCAATGTCTGACAACCCTCTCAGTAAAGAAATTTTTCCTAATATCCATCCTAAATCTCCCTTGCCACAACTTGAGGCCATTTCCTCTTGTCCTATCACTAGCCATCTGACAGAAGACACCAACACCCACCTCACTACAACCTCCTTTCAGGTAGTTGTAGAGAGTGATAAGGTCTCCCCTCAGCCTTCTCTTCTCCAGACTAAACAGTCCCAGCTTCCTCAGCCGCTCCTGATAAGAGTTGTGCTCCAGGCCCCTCACCAACTTTGTTGCCTTTCTCTGGACATGTTCCAGCAACTCAATGTCTTTCCTGTAGTGAGGGGCCCAAAACTGAACACAGTACTTGAGGTGTGGCCTCACCAGTGCCGAATACAGGGGAACAAACACCTCCCTGCTCCTGCTGGGCACACTATTTCTGATACAGGCCAGGATGCCATTGGCCTTCTTGGCCACCTGGGCACACTGCTGGCTCATATTCAGCCAGCTGTCAACCAGCCCCCCCAGGTCTTTTTCTGCAGGGCAGCTTTCCAGCCACTCTTCCCCAAGCCTGTAGTGCTGCAGCTTGGGGTTGCTGTGACCGAAGTGCAGGACCCAGCACTTGGCCTTGTTGAACTTCACACAATTGGCCTCAGCCCATTGATCCAGCCTGTCCAGATCTCTCTGTAGAGCCTACATATGTCTCTATTACTGAGATGAACACCAACTTTCCTTGTAGTTTTTTATCAGGATGCTTACCTTTCTGATTATGTAGGAGGAACCATACCTACATACTGTGACACACCACTGCTGTGGATGTGTGGGAAGAGAACATCAAATAAATAATGACATGGACTGACGAGTGGTTTTGACCTTGAGCAGGCAGTGTGTTTGACTTGAACTATATATTCTTCTGTTGACACTATGTTTCTGATTCAAAGGTTTTTGGTTCTTACATTGTGATCGCAAAACTTTCCAAAGGGCAGTTTTTTTAGTCAAAAATTGTTAAGATTAGTTTTTTTACATTGAGAATGGAAATACTGTATGTGTCTGCTGGTCCCACGACCAAACATGGTACTGACTGCTTTTTCAAGCAAGAATTTCAGTGCTTTCCAAGGCTTGAAAATATTCATAGAAGTATTATGAATATATGATGGGCTAATTGTGCAAGTCAACAACAGGTCTATGAATAGTGGGAACCATTCATGACGGTTATTACATAGGTATAAACACAGGAATTCTAGCAAATGCCAAAAGTATCTTTAAGTAGAAATGGTACTATCCGTATGCTCAGTGATTTCAAAGCTATCAAAAGAAAATAGAAGGAAAATCAATAAAATATGAATGGAAGGAAACAGAAACAATGGCTGAGGGGAAAAAAAAAAGGTAAAATTAATTGAACTGTGAAAATAATGCAGTCACAGCAAATGCCCTACAATGTCACATGTTTGAGACAAATGGGGAACCCTGGACTCACTACAGCCTACATGCCTTTATGGGAAGCATAAGAAGCACAGAACTAAAGCACTTCACCTGGCTACTGCTGGTATTAAAAATGTCTCTGGCTTTGAGTGCTGGAGACACATATCCTCTCAAAGTGTATGAAAATCCATATGCCTTTCTTTTTCTACTGAAAGACAGAATTGTATTCCTAGATGTTAGGCAGCCAAAGATTAAAATAAAGAGCTACGCTGTAGATGAGAATATGCCCATGCTTAGGGATTTCACAACCCCCAGAAATGATAGCTGTAAAGCTAGGATCATCTTTTGGGGCCAGACACGGATTTGAAATCTTGGTTTCTTGTTTTTGGATGAATGCTTTAACCACCAGGGCCCCTAATAATTGCTTTCTCTACAGTGTGTTAAACTCTTGTTTCCTCCAAGAAACAAACAAAACCAAACAAAACATCGAAGAACACCCACCTGACCACCCAATGCCATGTCCAGCACTTCTGACCAATGTGAAATGTAAGTGTATGTAAGTGCATGGTAATGATCTCAGACAGCCTCCTGGGTTGATCACTTCAGGGAATTAAGCCCTAGATCTCCAGAAAGTTTTAGGTTTGGACACATACTGATCTGCTCTCGACAAAGGGGTTGGGAACGTAGAGACTTTCAGAGCTAGCTGAGGGAGAGCGAGGGCCTCACTTTTGTTTGTTTCCCTGTAGATGAGTTACCCTTTTTATGGTATCTACCCTCTGAAACAATTTGTAATGATTCTTGTTTCTTTGGTGTTTCCAATGGTGCTCTGTAGGTGGCAGTGCAGAATGCATTTTTATGGCACTTCACCCAACAGAGATGTGTTTGGAAAGATTTGGGTGCTTTGGTTATTGCAGTCACTGTATGTCTGCATTTTTCCAGATGATGCAGGCAGTCTTCCTTTACAATTGTTCATTAATATTAACAGACATGTTAGCATTTTATCATTACAATCTTACACATTGTTGGTTGTCTAGTTCTTTCAATTGACTTTTTCCTGTTCTTGCTCTTACATTACTTGTACCATTGCTCGAGTTCATTTGGAAACAAAGCAAACAAATCACTTGGAACTCCTATAAATCGTCTGTCTTTAGTGTGTGCTTTTTTTTGATGTTTCACCTTCACAGAAAAATGTTTTCAGAACCCTGAATAAATTAAACAAACAACACATCCTGTTCCATAAAAGGAACAAACCAGCTTACTTACTGATAGGGAAATGCATATCTATTTATTTAAAACTGATGCTTTGAAAGTAAGCGAAGATAGATGGGGCTTTAGGGGTGATGGAAAATCAGATTTCCTCTGCTTCTGCAGGTGGCTTGGTATGACTTCTTAGCTCAATTTATGTTTTTACATTCTCCTGTGGAAACTGATGTAAATTTCAGGACACCATGACCATTTTGCATTGGAAAGTAGGTATTTCTTCATATCTGCCTTTTGGTATGGAGTCTTCTGAGCTAGAAGTGCACACAATGTTTCAAACATTATCATGTTATTCAGTTCTGTGGTTTGGAAATCTTAAATCATGGGTTCTTTGGCAGGGAACTTCAACTTGCACAGGCAGGAATATGCATGTTCATTCCCAATGTCATTAGCTTCTAGAGCAAGTTGGGTTTACAAACTAGTCCCGTCCTATGCCCTCTTGAATAACTTTCTATCCTTTCCCACTCATTGAAAGCTAACACTGTCCTGGTACCTGCAGACCTAACCATGAAGTCCTTGTTCCTTGTTCCAACACTCCAGTATCAATGATTCTCTATCATTTGTAGACTTGTCATTCTTTCATTGGAGATGAAAATTAGAACATAGAATTTAGATGACCACTTACACAGCATGAACAGGAGCACTGAATCTAGCTGTCAAAACTTACAATTTTAAGACTGCAATACAATTTTTTGAAAGAGCAAACAGGAATGATTTATGGTAAACCATTCTTTTCTCTAGAACCCCGAAGGGCAACCCATAACTATGATTGTCAGTTTAACAGATCATATCTCTCTGCAGGAAATGTAAAAGATCACTTACCTAAAGTTGATATGGTCATGAAATTGCTGGGAAAGAGGCACATCTGCCTTGCAGATACCAAGAATGGAAAGCAGCCTGCGGCACCTAGAAGCGCAGTACGCCAGCCTGGTCTGTGCTCCCCCACTCAGCTGCCCACAGCAGCTCTGTGTGATGCACTGGTTCCCAAGCCAGCTTGCTCAAAGACCTTTTCCTGACACATACATACACCATTCATATTGCTGAACAGTGATTATTTCAAGTGACAACTTCTTTATGGTACCTTTTGCTTGGTTTTGAAGACCTATTGTTATAATGGGGTTTATACAAATGTTTTTATGTGTAAAGTTAATTGAAGGCCAATTACAAGAAGTTGAGACAGTCCCATGAACAACTACAACTGAAGGCAAGACTGAAAGATAGATGTTTCTTTGTACAGCTGAATTGATACTGTACTAATATCTTTTACATGGCTGCCCAGCCTGTTGGACTAGATAGGTCAGGCATCTGAATCACACTGCAGATGCTATATTTACTTTTAAAGTATCTCTGTCATGTGGCTATACATAGCCATTCTCATTCAGGGCAAGCAGCCTCAACAAATGCAATGCTCTATGAAATTGTTAAAGGACTTTAATTAAACCTTTAATACAAAAATTTACAAAATACAAAAGAATGCTTTATCTGTACCTGGAGTCTTCATAGCCATAGTAAGTGATTCTGTTTTCCTCTGTCTTTATAGAACAGAAACCACTTTTGTTATGTGTTTTATCTGAAATTAGGATTAAAAGCTTTTTATCTGTTTTCCTGTAATAGTAACATAATTAAAAGTTCAGTGTTATATTTTAGCCTATGTTTTGCCTCAAGGCAATATTTGTACTAAAACTCTATTATGTTTTTGCCAACATAGAGTAATTTTGAATAAAAGGAATCCAGATTTGGTTAGACCATGCAATGATAAGGAAAACAAAGAAACAGTATTACCCTGCTTATTAAATGATAATATTAAGCCATTGATTGGAAAAGAAGCTTGCCACTGCTTCAAGTCTTTGGCATGCTGATTACTGGATTTCCTATATATGAAAACATTGCTTTTTTAGATAAGAATAATTTGAAAAACAATGATTGCATATTATGATTACTGTTACTCTCATATTGTCTTTTGTTTCCCACAGAGATGGGTTTTCTTGCTGTATTTGCTCTGCCATTACTTCTCTTAGGGATCAGTGGAATTATTTATATTTACCAGTCAGTCAGGTGGCTATTGTCCAAGTCAGCTGTGCAAAACAAGGTGGTGGTGATCACGGATGCCATCTCTGGACTGGGCAAGGGTGAGTTGTCTCATTTTTTCTCAGTGTCAGAGAATAGAAACAGCCAGAGAGCCACCTCTTAGGTGATAAAATGTGCATACATTAACTTGTATATATTCATAACTGCACGGATGAAGCAGAAGTTAAGAAATATATATTTAAATGAATCCTATGATTTTTAAATGTACATTTTTAGTTTCAGCCACAGGAACTTCTGGTAAACTTTTAGGAACTACAGAGCTTTGTATTTATTTAATTCAATAGAATGAGAGGTTTTGTAAGCACATTAAGAGTTCTATTTTTAGCATGTTGCTACTATGAGATCTTATTACTTAAGCTGTCACTGGAGGGTAGCAGCAAATCAGTATAAACAGGTGTCACCTTACTCTTTACATGTTCCTTTTCAGCCCTTAAAGACTTCAACATTTCCTGCTCCCTGTAAACAACAGTGCTCACCCCTCTGTCCCTGTTTGTATCTCTGCCCCCTTTATCACCCATGTTACTCCACTTATATTTATATATTATATATTTATGATATTATTTATCACTCCAGTACCTCCAACTGGGCTGCCTGGCTGTGTGTAATGGTGGGTTCAGTGGACAGAAGGAAAGCGTATGTGATAATTTATCTATTTATATAAACTGATTGCCTGGGTGGCCAGCCTCTTAGCATATACTTCTTCTTGGCTTGTATTTCCTGCCTACACAGTGCTACCGGATTAAAGGTACCGGGTCATATATTGCTTATGTACAGTTCTGCACTAGGCATCACTTGAGGGGCAGTATATGCAAATGCCTGATAAGGCAACCATAGCTTCAGGCTACATTTTGGCATTTTCAGTGAAGACTTCCTGTATGTTAGAAACCTTACACTCCAAAGCAGAAAACAGATGGGGAAAGGGAATGGTCTTGCAGAATTATTCCTTAGCAAAACAGAGCAGAGACCTGCAACGGAAATACACATTATGTTGGCAAGGAGTGCTCTTTATCAGAGCCTGTTAGGACAAGGTATGAAATAATTCTGACCTCCACGTCCCACCTGGTCTTCCCTTTCCCTGACACACTTCAGTTTCAGTTGAAGATAATGTTAGCATGAATTTTCTCTGATTGGTTATATTTCAGTATTTTTGTTTGGTGAAGTATGATTTGCAGTTCTCCAGCTAAGATTGGGTGTCTCATAGAATCATAGGATACCTAGAGGTTTCTAGACAGAAGTCCTGCTTGGAGCAGGAATATCACCAGTGCTAGATCTGGTGCATTGTGGCTTCAAGCCAAATATTGGAAACCTGCAAGGGTACAGAACATTTATTGAACATAAGATAAAGGAAGAGCAACAGACGTCATCTACCTGGACTTGTGCAAAACATTTGACACTGTCCCACACGACATCCTTGTCTCTAAATTGGAAAGACATGGATTTGGTGGATGGACCACTTGGTAAATAAGGAATTGGCTGGATGGCTGGACTCACAGTTGTGATCAACAGCTCGGTATCCAAGTGGAGACAAGTGATGAGTGGAGTTCCTCAGGGGTTGTTATTGGGACCATTGCTTTTTAACATCCTTGTTGGCAACATGGACAGTGGGATTGAGTGCACCCTCAGAAAGTTTGCCGATGACACCAAGCTGAGTGGTGAGGGTGACACACTGGAAGGAAGGGATGCCATCCAGATGGACCTTGACAGCCTTGAGAGGAGGGCCTGTGCAACCCTTGTGAAGTTCAACAAGGCCAAGGCTAAGGTCCTGCACATGGGTTGGGGAAATCCCAAGCACAAATACAGGCTGGTGATGAGTGGATTGAGAGCAGTCCTGTGGAGAAGGACTTGGGGGTATTGGTGGATGAAAAACTGAATATGAGCCAGAAATGTGCGCTTGCAGTCCAGAAAGTCAATTACATCCTGGGCTGGATCAAAAGAAGTGTGGCTAGCAGGTCGAGGGAGGTGATTCTCCCCATCTACTCTGCTCTCATTAGACCCCACCTGGGGTACTGTGTTCAGGTCTGGGGCCCCAGCATAAGAAAGACATGGACCTGCTTGAGCAGGTTCAGAGGAGGGCCATGAAGACGATCAGGGGGCTGGAGCACCTCCTCTGTGAGGACAGGCTGAGAGAGTTGGGGTTGTTTAGCCTAGAAAAGATAAGGCTCCCAGAAGACTGTATAGCAGCCTTCCAGTACTTAAAGGTGCCTACAGGAAAGATAGGGAGGGACTCATTATCATGGAGTGTAGTGATAGGATGAGGGCTAATGGTTTTAAACTGAAAGAAGGTAGGTTTAGATTAGGTATTAGGAAGAACTTCTTTACTGTGAGGGTGGAGAGACAGTGGAATAGGTTGCCCAGAGAGAATTTGTGGATGCCCCAACCCTGGTAGTGTTCAAGGCCATGTTGGATGGGGCTTTAAGCAACCTGATCTAGTGGAAGGTGTTCCTGCCTATGGCAAGGGAGTTGGAACTAGGTGATCTTTAAGGTCCCTTCCAACCCAACCCAACCCAACCCAATCCAACCCATTCTATTCTATTCTATTCTATTCTATTCTATTCTATTCTATTCTATTCTATGATTTCTTCAGGTACCTTGCTCCAGCACTGCATGCCACCCGAGGAATATTTTCATAAGTTCAATTTCTTTATTAACCTTTCTTCATTTATTTTTTTTTAAATTTTGTGACTAGCTGCTGCCTCTCCCTTGAGGCTACAAAGGCAATTACCTCCCCCCCCGCCCTTTCCCACAGAGATGAAAAAGGAGGTAACTCAAAGCAATTTTATTTTATTATCCTAAACATATCTACTGCTAGTATCCCATAGGGTGATACAGAGAAGTTATTTGCAGGCTCGAATCATTCCAAATCATGCAGAATTTACTGTGCAGTCCACTCATGCATATGTGATGGCCATTCATCCAGAGCTTTAAAATACCAGCTGTGTGGCCAGCTGCTGCATATTTGAGCTCTTAGGCAACAGCCAGATTCCTTTTCCAACATGCCATAATTTCCGGACTAAAGACAACATTCATCAACGTTTAAAAAGAGAAACAAAAACTATGACGATTGAAGTTGTTTGCAGTGGTTTATGGTTGTTATTTAACCTGATTCCTGTTTCTTCTCAGTGCTATATCTCAGGAAAGTCCAGGATAGTTCTAGAGGAGAACATAATTCATTTCCCTTTTCCCCTTTTATTGCTGTTCACACAGTAGTCACATTTTATTCACAAAGTTGCCCCAGCTGTTATATTTATATGAAAAATACTGGTGTAGTTGTCCTAGTACTGGCAAATAATCTTTGGGGTTTTAAATCAAAAATCTTTCTATGCTAGAAAAAAGAAAATGAAAGACATGCATAAAATTACTCTTGTAAATAATGAAAAAGATTACATAAATAAAAGTTTCCAGCTGCACAGGTTTACAAAAATAGAAGAGTGGATCCAGAAGTGCTTCCATACAGATACTAAGAGTCTAGCATGGGCATTTAAGAAATCTAAGATGGGCATATTAGCATAACTGGATTAGCCTGTGGGTATCGAAATCTAAAGAAAATGCTTTTTGGAGGACAGACAGCACTAGGTTTGTACTCTTTCCCATTCAAAAAAGGCCATAGTAACTAAGACAAATCAAGTATGCTGGAAAGGCCTAAGAGTAATTGTAAGACCGCATTCCTGTTCCTCCCATACTGAATATGTCATACAGATTTGGTTTAGGGACCAAATATGAGGGCTCCAAGACTGAGAGCTTTCTGGGAGACCTAATCAGGAAAAAAAACCCACATGAGGGAAAAAATAACTCTTGATTTCCAATCCTACCAGCACACATAACCCACTGTCAAACCCACAGACATCTGGTTTGGGGCACAGTGGGCACATCATCTGTCGCATCCTCAGGCCTATCTGAAAGACATTATCTATTCCAAGAAAGAAAAGATGGGCAATTGTGTACTTTTCCTGGTCAGGAGGACAACCTTGACAGATTCCTGGACTGAGAGCCACAGTTTCAGTTTAGCTGATCTAGAACGTGCACCCTGTAGCAGCCTGTAACAGCCAGAGGGATACAACTGACAATGAATTTCCAAAAGATGCCCATGAGATATCTATGCTCCATGTTTTTAAACACCTTTCTTTGGTCAAACTGACAGGACAGTGAGGAAGATATTCTCCCTCAACACCACCTAGACAAGAAAATAGACCAGACATGCTGTCAAGATGCTCCAGCCTGGTATTTCATAGTCTGGATTGAGCTGATCACATACTCCCATGAACACCTAAACTAATGAGTTGGCTACAGTCTTGTAGCCAGAACTGAGGTGGTATGATGGGTAACACTGACTGCTAGTTCCTCTTGTTACGTGAGTCCCCACTTTCAGAAAAACACAGTCATAGTTCACTTGCATAAGAAAGGGAGAAGCATCGTCCCCAGAGACCTAGCTTAAACTGGGGTGAACCCCTAGCTCAGAATAACCCTGAATATATGGAGAAAAAAGCAGTGCCATCCCAGCATACCCTGAAACTTCTCAGTGGCCTTCTTAGGAAGGCTTCAGGGAATGTAGCTGAACAAGACGTAGTTCAGGCTGGTCCCTGATGCCTCTGATGACTACTGGGAAGTTCTAATACTCAGGAGATAAAGGTCTTGGGATGGATTACCTATGGAGGGAACGGTCTGTAGAAGAAAGGCCTCTCTCATTGATGCTCCATCTGTGGGCCAGTGGATGGTAAATTTCTCTGTATTGCTCTTTCTCAAAGTTGTAGGTAAGTTTCATGTTGCCAAGAGTTTCATGAAGGTAGCATACAGAGCTAGTTTTACTATTTACTGGGGTTGGTTGGTTTCTTCTTTACACTGCAGTAGACATGAAGTTGCAGAAGATGCAGTTTGTATTGTAACAACCTAAATTGTGTATTTTTGAATATATTTTGCTTTATAGCAAGTGTGGCTGTAGGTGGAGAGAGTTAAGGAAGGTAATCAGAACAATTTTTCTAACTCAAAGCCATCATCCATTAACTGGCATATTGTTATTTTCTTAATTAAATTTTTAAATCCCATGACTAAACAGTGCCATTGTGCTGTACCATTAATTGTGCATTATACCATTACATTAAATTTTAATTTATTACTCACATACATATTATTGCCATTTAATGTTTTCTTTTTTCTCATATATATTTATTCTTTCAAAATTAATGAATTTTAGAGCATAGATTCAACATCATTAGCAAAACCAGCATCCCATTTCAACCAAAATAAACAAAATCAAATTGTTGTTATTATTTATTTTGAATGTATTTCTCTCCTAGAATGTTCTCGGGTGTTTCATACAGGAGGAGCAAGACTTGTGCTGTGTGGCAGGACATGGGAAAAGTTAGAAGCCTTGTATGATGCTTTAATTAGTGTGGCAGACCCCAGTATAGTAAGTATTTCCTCACTCTGCTTTGAAAATTCACAACTTGAGGTAAACACCTTGTTCAGGTACACAAAGTGCTTTTAAATCCAGTAGAACAAGGTACATGAAACATGATTCACTGTTAATGGTGATTTTGGTCACCCAGGTAACACACTTAGCACAGTCCAGAGAGAGAGAGGGAGAAACACCTCTGAATGTCTTCAGAGCATGACGCCAAAAGTATAAGTCAGAAATCCTGCTCTCTTGAGCTAATTCAAGGCAATTACTGTAAAGCAGCTGAGTGGTCCTGCATTTTGAACAAGCCACCCAACTAGAAATGCTAGGCAGAGGAATTTGCCTGTTAATTTGGATGAAAGGGATCCAAAGTGCTTCATTTAATCACAGGAAGTATCATCCATTTTTCACATAATTAGAACGCTCGAGGAGTGAGAGATGGGTCTAAATATTGAAATAATTTTGAGTTTCTTCACTGCTCTGGGAGAAGTCCCATCTAGAAGGGCATGGGACCATATGAATAAGAGTACCCTTTCCTCATTACCACTGACTGGGTCACCATGTAAGTAGACATGCAAGGCTGCCCCTGCTGCCGGTTCCTTGGAAGGTGTTTCTTTGATGCTCATGGGAAAGCTTTCCTTCTGTGACCAACAGATATCTTACTCATTTCAGGGCACAGGTGTTCTGAAGGCATCACACAAGTTCTACAGCCATTGCTCACCAGACCAACAAACATTTGCATTTGACCCCTTTTTTTCAGTAAGCTTCATTCATCTGCATAAATAAACATAAAAGTAGTATGTTCATGTTAGTCTGTGCAGATTCAACTAGGAAAAAAATATTAAGTATGACTAAGGGATCTGCATTACATCGCCATAGTAATATAATAAGAGAAGATAATCAGAGTTCATTCCTTTGTCCCATAGCTGATAAAATCTACATCTCTGCAGAAATCATACAAAAGTAAACTCTGTTTGAATAACCTATAGCTGAACAAACCATTCCTACCTTTCAGCTGTCCCCCATGTATACATAAATTATCTATCAAAGCACTATATCCTAGCCTCTGTTGTCAGCAAAGTTCTCCAGAGGGCTGATTACAAAAAGACTATAACTTGGAGTGGTAGGAGTCACCCTGTGTCTATTATCTGTCTCCACTGATTACAAGAGAGACAAAACTCAATAGGGTAGATCTAGTCCAGCTTACCCTTCCCATGGTGTTCTGATTCATCTGAATTTCAGAGTCTATGAATACCCATTGCTGAACTACCTTCTTTCTAGAGTGGGTTAAAAAAAACAAATGAAAGGTTTTGTAAGAATGATAAAAGCACTTTCTTCAGATATCAAGGTAGATTAATTTACAAGACAAGTAAATAGAAACACATTTTTATACAACAGGTATCCTTGAAATAAGTCTTTTCTTTATTAGACATATGCACCAAAGCTCATACTTATGGATATCTCAGACATAAACTGCATTCAAGATGTAGCTAAGGAAATCCTGAATTGCTATGGCTGTGTGGATATACTGATCAACAATGCAAGCATGAAGGTGAAAGGAGCAGTGCAGAGCATTTCATTGGAACTTGATAAAAAGATAATGGATGCCAACTATTTTGGACCTATAACATTAACCAAAGGTATTTTAATTTCTTTTGCTGTTTTGCTGTTGCTACTTAAAGCTTGAGATCCCAGTCATTGGTGTTACACTGTTTCATCTGCACTTATTTTTGCCTTCTGCATTAGAATCAAATGCAATCCTGGGAAAATCAGTGGACTGAAATTGAGGTGAAGAAGATCAAAATCAGAGTGCTTGGGTTTGGAAATAGATTGGTCAAGAAATATCTAAGCAGGTGTTTGAAAGACAGACTTTTTAAAAAAATGTCTGCTTATTGTATTTTGTATATGGTGACTCCTTTATTTATGTGCTTGCTACCTCTGTTACAAAGACAGTTGTTTTCAAAACCCTTGCAAGGATACAGACAGGCTGACAATTAAATGTGATAATATTTCACCCAAATCTGCACATAGAATCCAAGTGAAGTCTAGAAGACACTCAATTTCCAGCTACTGGATTTTGTGATATTTTTGATTGCAGTATGGAGACAACCTTCGTTAAAGTTGTGCTGTCTACACTTCAGCTGTCACTTCTTTTTACTAAATACATTGAGGTATTTTGCTTATGTGGCTTTTTATTTCTTTTTTTTAGCTATTCTTCCCAGCATGATCTCAAGAAAAAGTGGCCAAATTGTTCTAATTAATAGTATCCAAGGAAAAATAGGAATCCCATTTCGTGCAGCTTGTAAGTTATACATAGAAAAATGTGCATTCTAATGCATAAATTGTGAGTATTCTCTGATAATGGCACTGATAATAGATTATTAAAAGTGCTAATTTGCATCCTAATTCAGTAAACTCTTAATACCATATTTGGCTGAAAAATTTTCAAAGAAGTGGAACTCAAGAAGAAATAGTTAAAATAGTATCTTTGAAGTATAACTACTGCCTGAGATATTGGGGACAAGAGGATATAAAATGTGACAACAAGGGGTTTTTATGATCTTAGGAGACATTCAGGAAACGGCAAGCTTGTAGTCTAACATCTGTACTGGGCATATTAATAGAAACCATAATGAAGAATGAAGTAATGTACAAATGTAACATACTGGTAGATACTAGCTACTGCTTTGTAAAGTGAGACTCATGCACTTAATGGATTTGTGTGCGGGAGTTTAAAAGGAGATGTAGTAATTGTATTCTGCTTGGCTTTCCAGAAAATTTTCAAGAAGGTCTTTCATCCAAAGCTGCTAATGAAACTAACCCATCCTGAACTATGATGAAAAGTCTTTGCATTAATAAAACGCAAAGTTAGTGGACAGAAAATATAGGATAGATGTAAATAGATATTTTTAATTGTGACAGGATGGCTAATCATTCCATGCTCAATTTTCCAAACATTCATGTTTTATGGAGCTCTATCATACCATACATCTATGTCAATGCATTCATATATCCAAACATGCATATGTGGTTTTTTTTTTTTTTTCTTTCTTTTAGATGCTGCTTCTAAGCATGCTGCTGTAGGCTTTTTTGATTGTCTTAGAGCTGAAATGGAAGAATTTGATATTTCTGTCAGCACTGTGAACCCAACCTTCATCTGTTCATACCATCGCCAACCAGCACCTGGCAACTGGGAGGCATCTATTTGGAAATGTAAGGTTTGATGCATCAAGAGAGATGGTAGATAAGGCCTATACAGCAGTATGGAGGGTTTCCCAGGGAGAAGACAGGAGCATAGGGAAAAGAATGGAAATGACAGAAAGGATGAACAGGTTAGGGGAGCAAAAGAAAAGAAAGATTGGAGAGTTCAGATGAGCCTAGTGAAAAGAGAAGGAACATGGAAAGAGACAACATTATGTAATAAAATAAATACACCAGGGGATGGGAAATGGAGGTAGAGCAGAGCATGAAAGGTCCAAAGGGAGACTTTCACTGCACTCAGGTTTGCTCCTTCTCTTAGGGACTGTGAGGGTTTTACTTCAAAATTGTAAAAAGATCTTAGGGACATAGTGATGAGAGAAAGGGAAGGGGTAAGAGATTGAAAGTGTGTATGAATTTAACTAATTTTACTGATGCACTAGCTGTGCATCTTTTCACCACCGTTCCCTCAGATGTGTCTGTCTGTCTGTAGCTCTCACTCCTCTCTGTTTGATTTACAGTCTTTTTCAGAAAGGTGGCATATGGTGTGCACCCAGTGGAGGTGGCAGAGGAAGTCTTGTGTACAGTAAGCAGTAAGAAGCAGGAGGTACTTATTGCCAACCCTATCCCCAGAGCAGCAGTTTACATTCGCACCTTCTTCCCTGAAATGTTTTTTGCCATTGTTGCCTCAGGGATTAGGGAAAAGCTGAAGACAGAAGAGGAAAATTGATTTTGTTCGGTTCTTTACCCTGCTTTTGACCTGAAAAAAAGTTTGTTTCAAATGTCAATGATTTCTGCTTCTCACTATGGGTAGAATAAAGCAGGAGGCTTTATTAAACATGAACCAGCCAATGTCTTACTTAGTGATTCACTACCATTGTCACACGCTCATCTGTGGGATTTCTACTCTTCTGGATTTAGTGAATATGACAAGATGTCATTGTTTGCATTGCAACAGTATGGGAAAAACTCTGCTAGGAACTCTATCACTGTTTTAAGAGAGTGATTCCCAATCTAAATTGGTAGATCAAAGTTTGGGGACCTGCAGCAACTTATCAGAATAGTCTGTCAGTGCTAGGACTGATGGGAACTTACAGGAACAAAAGGAAGGGGAAGTAAGGAGATGTGGGAGAGAAAGCAGTAAAAATCAGTGGAAAATGGGGTTGGAGCCTTAATCAGAGTGTTCCTCAGATGTGCTTTTTGGAAGTACTTGCAGGATATGCAAATGGTTAGCACAAATAAGAGCTTATCTAGTTAAATATCTCATCCGCAACAGGACCCTGGAGTACATGCTTAAAAGATGGATTATGAGAGTGGGACAATAGTATGGAGAAACTCCCTGTATTATACTCTCCCAGGTTCTGGTAATCTGCTACATAGTTTGAAACAGAATCTGTCTCTGTGTCTTGTTAAACTATCAATTTTTCACACAAATTTTTCAAATTCCTGTTTGAAACATTCCATCCCTGAGGAAAGGAACTAATCATATATTAAAAAAAGACTTCATTATGTTTACTTTAAACCTGTTGTCAGATAATATTCTCTGATATCTCCTACTTCTTTTACTGTGAGAGACAAAAAATAATGGTACTCAATTCATTCACTCCCAGTTGTCCATGCCCATCATACTTTCCATGCAGTTACCTGTTTTCCAAGTGGGAGAGCCCTGGTATCTATTCACTCTCTGTATGTGAGAAGTCCAGATTATTATTCTTGTTCTTCTTTATATCTTTTCTTGGTTTACCTTTTTTTTTTTTTTTTTTTTTTTAAGATGGACAGGCCACAGCTGCATGCAGCATTCAGGATGGATAAACAATCTGGACTCACAGACAAGCATACACATGCTTTCTGGGTTTTTCACTTCTTTTCTTCTTCTGCATGTCTTATGCAAATTCCTGGTTTTGAGATATTTTTCTGACTGCTACTGAGCACTGAGTTCCCTTGTCCACTCTGCTATGTGTGGTAATTAATCATCATATTCAACATGAGCGTGGCCATTACTCATGCCAATTGTGTAAATTCCATATAAGTCCCGAAGTCCTCTCACTCCTAGATATTCTGAGTTTCTCTTCCCTATCACATTTTCCATTCATGCTGTGAATTTACCCCTTTTTTGTTTCATCCTGTGAGCTGAACCAGAATATAAATAAAGCTCATGCAAGGGTGTCCTGATCTTCAGTTTTACATCTAAGAGCTTGAATTCTGTCTCCCAAACCCTCCTCTGGCCTTTCTTTTGTCATCAGTACTCACAGAGATCATGACCACCTGCTTTTTTGCAGACACTGCCAAAATGCCTTATTTGCAGAATACCTACAAAGGAAATACCTACTCAGAAGCATGTAACCAAACTACACTTCCTGCTACAACAAGTCCAGTTGCTCATGTAGCTTTCAACACCAGCTGCACTTATCTACGTCTTTCTATCAGTAAGAATCACCAAACGTTAAAGGAATTCTCAGTGCATTGTTATCATCTTGCAGGGACGTTAACCTGTTCTGTATCTCTATTTCAATTGCTCTGGCAATCAAGAAACATGCATGCATCTACCTCACTCAGGGAAGTCTAGTTCACACCTAGTGAGAAGTAGCCAGTTCCTGCAGTACCTGCTGGAGTTCCATCTATTTTCTGTTGTAGCACTGGGCTTTTATTGTTGTTTGAATGACTATACCTTAACTGTGAAGTAAACCATCCACTTTGCCAAAAATTTTCTTGCTTCTCACCAGAACTCTACTCCCTCAAGCAAATGTGCTTTACCTGTGGTCTCAGTTATACTTGTGTCTGTGCCTAAGCAACAGCCAAGCCCTTCACAGCTCCACAAAATCAAAATATGGAATAACTGGCTAATTCCATCAGAATAGGATCAGAGAATCATAGGACATCACAGCTAAACATGAAACAACATTATCTTGCTTTGTTGTAAAAACAAATGGATTGCGTGTTAAAATAAGCTGAATAATCCTTCTGCTCCATTTTGCACTTTCTAGATATCAGCAGAAATTCTTCATTGGTTTTGAATATTTCACTTTAAAAATGTGGAACAGTTCAAGAAATCACAGTGAGAAGAAATGAGAGTGACAAAGGTAAAATAACACCTGTGGTCTATCAAGAAATTTTTAAAGAACAGATGTATTTTAATCTAGAAAGTAGAAGAAAGTCATATCTAAACAATTTTCAAATACCTAAAATGTACTCCAAGAGGATAGAACTAAACTGTTCTCCATTTCTGCTGTAGTAGAACAATGTGCTAAAATTACTGCAAAGGAGATTTACAGGGAAAGAATTTTCTGCTAAGAATAGTTAAGCATGAAGGATAAATTGCCACAGAAATTTTAGAATGCCTGTCTTTGGAAGCTTTAAAGAAGAGATTAATGAAACATCTGTAAAAAAGCAATGTAGCTTTAGTTTATCCTGCCTAAAGGAAAAGAAGGATTAGGTGACCTTTTAAATGGGTCACACTTTTCTATAATTCTGTGGTCTTTTCTCATTTTGAGAACAAGGATTCTCCACTGGTATTTCTGAAGTAGTGTTTTTTCCTCCAGGGAAATCTATTATTTAATCTGAAGTTTTCTATTTATTTCATTTGTCCATCTCTGCCTTACTGTTTAAATACCTGTGGATATATGTTGCATATAAAAATATTATGACAATAAAAAGAAATATTATGAGTTCATTAAGAGATATTTTCTGTGAGCCTCACTCAGCCATATTTTAATCTATATGGTTTCCTAACTTTTATAAATGAGGACAAAACTAGGCCTGCAGATTTAGTTGTAGAAGTCATAGGAGAAATATATTCAACTACAGCTCCTTTAATTTTTTTTTTAAGCTTCTCACATGCCTAAAGAGCACATAATTTTCTTTTAATGTGAGCTGCAGCTGGCTGCACTGTTTCAAATTTATGGGTTTTGTGCTGAAATCAACTATTCTTGGTGTTGGCCAAGAAAGTTGACATTGCTGGACACAAGTGCCCTTGAAGTAAGGAAAAATTTAAAAGAGTGCTAAGACTGGAAAGTCTTAGAAGTGAGGAGACTCTTGTCTAATTTTAGACATCAGTCTTAGAGCCTACCCAGAGCTAACCTCCCACATCCCCTTCTTAAGCAGTGGAAAGAAACAGGTGCCTGTAACCTGTGATTTATCTGACATACAGCTTAGGATAACATGAATTGCATCCTAGAAGTGCCTATTTCTCTCATTAACTTTCACTGGACTCCAGGTAATCAGCACAACTGTAGATCTGGGTATCTGTGTCATAGGCACCTGAAGTTTACTGAGATGCCACATTCATCAGGATTGATTGGGTCAAATGAACTGGAATAAAAGTGCCACAGTATTTTCTAAGCTGCCTTTTTTTTTTTTTTTTTTTGCCTACTTTCAAATAATGTTGTTCCAGGACTTACCCCAGAACTATCGATGCCTACAAACTGGGAATCAAAATAAGGGCTAGAATGTGAAATCATGGGTTGCAAATAGGGATAAGAAGTCTTGCATTTCATCAGGTGAATCTGTTTACAAAACATCCAGCAAAACACTTACACCTTCTTGAATGGTTAGCATGTGAGAAAACCAGACTGTCTGAGATTTAAGAATTGATCAGGATGGGGGTCCCACTGCACAATTATTTAAAAGCTCTTGTCCACATACAGCACTTTGTATGAGTGCAAATGACTGTGAGAACCCTGAGGAAAGAGCATAAGGTAGAGACTACCAGTCTGTGTTTATAAACTGCAGGCTAAGAAAAAAATTGTGGAACTTAAATTAGGTCTTTTAAAGATCTGGTAAGAACAAACCAAGTATGTTCCTGGATGAGGTGGAAATTCATTGGTGACACCCAGGAACAACATGAGATGGGTAAAAATCTATTGTTAAGAGACCACAGTTATTATAAAGGAAGAAAAGCAGAAAGTCAGATGGAATCAGGAACAATACCTCTATCAGTGAAGATGTTAGAAACAACTCTACCACAAAGAAATAATGTGAAACAAGTGGAAGGAATCAATATCTTGTGTTCTGGCCAAGGCATTGAGACTACTTCTACTAGAGTGGATATCAAACTGTCTAGGAACTGCTTTTTTCATCTGCAGAACTGAAGGTGGCAGTTTCAGAATACTGGGTATGCTGTAATGAATAAATACAGACTTTTCTAAAGATGAAAGGGGAAATCTTATTGCTGTCTACAGCTACCTAGTGGGATGATGTAGAGAAGATTCAGCCAGACTCTTCTCAGATCTGCACAGTGGAAGAAAAAAAAGGTAATGGACACAAATCAGAACACATGAAGTTCTGATTAGATATTAGGAACTATTTTTTCCACAATTACAGTAGTCAAGCACTGGGACAGGTTGCCAATGAGGTCAGGAAATTGAAGTCAGGAAATCTTACTTCTTGCATATATTCAAAACTCAACTGCTTAAGGCTCTGAGCAACATCATCTAATTGGTCTGGCTTTGAGAAGGGAGGCTAGGCCAGAAACCCCCAGAGGTACCTTCTAACTTAAATTATTCTGTGTGACTCTACAGGTATAGATGAGTTTTGCAGTTGGTCTCCAGCCAAGATAATTTTGATATTCCCCCAGCCAGAGAATGTGATTTTGTCAGTTTTTCCGGTGGATGGGAAAATTTAGATGAATACCAAATGCTGAAAATGCTGAAAATTGATGAAACTGCAGACAAGTTATGCAGAGTAAAACACATAATCAAACAAACCCTGCTAAAGGTACCAGGAGATGACTTTGGGTATAAATACCTAAATGACATCCTTTAGCGAGTCCTACAGTGCTCTATGCAATAAGGTGTCAGCTGGCAGGACACAGTCTACTCTAGTCACTATTCAAAGA